TGTGTGTGTGTGTGTGTGTGTGTGTGTGTGTCAGAGCAGTGCCTGGGTGGGAATTCTGCAACAATGACACATGTCCACCTTGTCCACGACATGACAGAGGAATTTGATTGGAATCCTGCTCTCTGTGTGTGTGAGTGTGGGGGGGAGGCTGTGTCAAATGCTGGGAGCAAATGCAGCAGCGCAGTAAACGCCACAGAAATGTGGAGAGCATCACACACACACACAGACACACACCATGCAGGAATGTCTTCCCTATGGGGAGGAATTAGCATGCAGGAAAAGGACACATTGAGTCTTGGTCTCTGCTTGGACCCCCCAACAACAGTCACGGACTGCTGTCTCCTGTGAAGAGGGAGGGTTTCTCATGTTTATCAATCATTCCTCAAACCAGTATTTTAGTAACACAACACTGCAGTGTTCATCTGTAGGCCTGAAACAAACAATTAGTTCATCAGCAGAAAAAAATCTGCAAATATTTTCTAGAATAATTCAAAAAGAAACAGCTTCTTTTGCATGAGGATCATTGTGAGTTCATGTTTGTGTCTGTCACACTGAACGAAGCTGAGTTCAGTTCTGGCATTTTGAGAGGGCATTAGAAAATATTTTTTTTACAATGAATAAAAACGGAATAATCAGTAATAGTAACTAAGAAAAGTTAGAAACAGCCTGGATTCTCTTCACGGTATTCTGAGATCAATTCTCAGACTCTAAGAATTGTTTTATGTTGCTAACTTCACTTTGTGGTCATATGTGTGGTCATATGTGCTGAATAAATAGTCACACACCTGAAGTGTCGTCTGGATGTTGGGGGTTAAGAAAGAAGCAGCAGACGGTTTTTAAACACCGGACTCTAACAGTGGCAGCATCCAGATCAGGTTTTGCTTTGATACCTCGAGGCTTTTCCCATCGCTTATTACCCTCAAACACATCTGCAATTTATGGTTTTAGGAAGTCGAGCTGGCACGAGGGTGTGTGTGTGCGTGCGTGTGTGTGTGTGACGCACGTGTGTGTATCCATTTACCATCCCCCGAGGAGGAAGACAAGAAAAAGAGGAGAAAGAGAAGAGGCTCTTAGTCTGTCCGTCAGGCTATTTCTGACTGCTGCCATTTCTCTGATTAGATTATGGAGAAACAGAAACCTGGCCCTCCATCGTCCTAACCTCCCTCCTCCCTCTATCTCGCTGCAGTTTGCTCACTCGCCCCCCTCCCTCCATCCCCCCTCTCCTCCACCTCTCTCTCTCAGCCCTTCCTTCTCCCACTTCTGTCTGTCTCTGTCCGTCCATCTGTCTCTCTCTCTCCCACTTTCTGCTGATGATGAATGAGAGGGTTAAACCTGAGGAAGGGACACATGGAAGAAGAAGAGTACATGTACAATTTTCATTAGTGCAAAAACATCTGTATTAAAGTAGAGTACGATACTTTATTTGTTAAAACCAATGAATTTGTTCCCTTGAAAGTAAGTGGAGACTGTGCATCTATAGCAGTCCTCTTAATATGCCTGATGTTTTGCATCAAGATCCATTAATTATTACAAAACTGTTTTGAAATGTTAAACTGAAAAATAAAATGTGAACTGCACAGAAATTGAACTGTTTCCTCCCTGACCCATACAGCATGCTTCCAACAAGTTTCATGAAAATCCTTTCAGAAGTTTTTTTGTGATCTTGTTCATACACAAACAAAGATGTCCTCCTTGGCAGAGGTAAAGTTATTTAGACGTGTCCATGCAGGAGCCTGATCCAACGCTTCTAGATCCCAATCATTGCAATGAATGCTGGTTCACCAAACAGTTATTTTAGTTAGATTAAAACTTATTTTACTATAGCACATTATCAACTAGACAGGTTTGACCAGGGGCCCTCTGCAGCACGGGGCCACAAGGTGAGGTAATAACACCCTGCTGCACTTTACTGCTGCAAATTCTCCAAACAAAGCGTAATGAACCAAATTACAAGAACTATACGGGGCCCCATCAGTAGCCTACAGGTTTTAAGTGCAGACTCGGAATCATTACATCGGCAGTTTGAGTCTGAACGGGACCTTCAGTGCCTCTCGCTCCATCTCCCTCTCTACAGTGACGGCTCTAAAGCTGTGAAGTGCTTGGAAAATACTTTTTAAAATCAAAACCATTTGACATGCAGCAGCTCTGGGGGGTTGTAGTCGTACCCGCTGACAGTGCTGAGGGCCCCTGAACACTGATCTCTGTTGTGTGTGTGTTGCAGAAGTGTGGGTGTGTTTGATTTCAGCACCATGGCTGTGCAGCTGAGTGCAGCAGAAAGGTGCAGCATGCAGCCAGGTGGAGGTGCTGAATGATGAATGACTACCAGAGGTTCTCCCATTATCATATCTGTCCCCTAGCTCTTAACGGGGGATTTTCATCCGTGTCCCTCTGCACAATACTCCTACACTAACACCCCCTCCTCTCCCTCACTCCCCTCTCTTTCTCTCTTTGTCCTCCCCCCCGCAGGAGAGCGATCGATTTCACCTCCATTACCTCAGTGCACTCAGCTGCAGGATGGAGATGCTCCTCAGTCCTGCAGCTGCGGTGGGAGCAGCACAGTTATCACAGGCTGCACAAAAAACTGCTTTCAGACACGCAATGAACTCCGGATAATCTCATCACATTCTCGGAGGGGCTGTATGTGAAAACGTAAATGTCCCAGTGAGAGGCTCTGTCAGGGAGCCTCCTTGTAAAAACTCAGGAGACTGTCCGAATGAGCCGATGTGAGAAAACACCTGGAGATCCTCTGCAGGATTCACCACCAGCAAGTGGGTGTGTTGATGATGTTTCTAACATGCAGCAGAAGCAAAACTTCGAGAAAACATATCTCAGGATGAAAATGCAGTGTCGTGCACATAGAAGGCACCTACGAGGATCAAGCTATTGATGAGCTGTAAACAAAAACATGTGATCTCTGCAGCAGAAGGAAGATATTATATCCTGCCTGCTGCACCGTCCCTCATCTGAACACTCCCAACATTTCTGTGATCTGAGAATCTCCAATGTGTTGTGTGAAAGACAAACTCTGGAGAATGTCTGGAGACATTTTGCGGACATTCTGCGGAGTTCATGTCTGAAAACTGGTGAGAGCCCTGAGACTTTCTCTGCCTAGCCCCACAAAGAATACAAATATCTCAGGATGGAAATGTGGTGCCAGCACACAGAAGACACTGACAGAGAATCTGCTGCTCTGTTGTTCATGTGAGAGAAGCAAACTCTGGAGAGAGTCCTCACCTAATCATGAGGACATTCTCCGGAGTTCATGTCTGAAAATGGTTCATAACCACAGTGTGTGTTTGTTCTAGATTCTCTGACCTTTAATGCGTTAATGTCTGGAGTTGTGGGGGGGAGCACCGGATGCCGTCCGGTTACCGCAAGGTGATCACGTGACAATCCAACCCTCCCCTGGGAGAATTAGCATAAAAGACGAATAAAGGACCCCACCAAAAAAAAAACACACACACACCAGTCTGTCCTCCTTTCTCTTAAAGAAAAGGAACAAATCCATTCCGCCTAATTCGAACCTTGCTCAGGGACAGCTCGCGTGGCAGATTGCAGCCTAATTAGTTTAGAGGGAATTTAATTCAATTAACTTTCCACAGCTCCGCGCGCCCCGCCGCTGCAGGGCTGCTTTCAGAGCGCGGGGCCAGAGCTGCAGATCTAATTAGCGTGTTTGGAGAGGCTCTCCATGCGCGCGGCCATCCCCTCAACCGCTCCAGCTGTGGTGTGCGTGCGACCAAATTTTCAAAATGTTATACCCACATTTGTGTGTGTGTGTGTGTGTGTGTGTGTGTGTGTGTGTGTGTGTGTGTGTGTGTACCGTGGTCTCCCGGGACCTGTTTTTTTTATCCTAAAAAGCTTCTTTTTTAAGTAACATGCCGTCGTCCATTAGGATAATACAGGTCTGGTGGCGCAGTGGAGAGATGGACGCAGCATGAGAATAACCCGCAGCTGCTCTGCGTCACGGCCCGGCTGCTGAGCGCGCGGCCGCCTCATGTTAGAGCGTACCCGAATTCGTTTGAGTGTAATTTGATGGGTTCAAATGAATGGCTGCATGTTTGACTAAACTTCAGGCTGATGGATGCGAGTGCTGATAATGATTCTGTCCCTGTGTCTGTGGGCCATTATTTAGGTTTACAACATTTATTGTTCCAATATTTTAAAAGCTGGTTGATGGATATTTTGATCATTCTCTGTGATGATGATGATGATGATGATGATGATGATGATGAGCACATTTTGGCCCCAGATTTGGCCCACATCCCGTATGGAATGATGGCACTTGGGTAGTCGACTCCTGTTTGCCACATCTGGGACACGAGTAAGCAAAAAAAAAATGTTTATTTGGGGATTTGCCATTTTACAAGTGGGCCACTTTAAACTCCATCCATATTGTCCGAGCCACATGAAGGCCACATCATGACCTGGAGTGGCCCACACCCGTTTGTTATCAGGGCCAACATTTTGCTGCAGATCTAAAAATTGGAGATCAATGACAATATAATGAAGCACAAAAGAGCAAGAATTCACATGTTTCCCATCCATGTTCTTGTGGTTCCTGTGGTGTTTGTCTTTGTGTTTCTTTGTCTCAACAGGTATAAATACCACTTTTATTATATTATAATAAGCTTCATCCTAAATTACATCCATGAAAATCAATTTAGTCCAATAAGTAAAATACACTGTTTATATATAGTTCTTTATATTTTGCTCCAGGCTCAGTCAGGACCCTGCAGTGTGATTTTAAACAGGCGCATCACCACCAGGCCTCCACCTGACAGAGCTTCACCGCAACACACTGGTGCTGTGGCTCCGTCTCTAACACGGTTAAATACGCGCCTTCGTTTCGAGCCGGAGCGTCACGGTACATTCCGGTAATTGGGCATTGAAATGCGGGGACAGGCTCACCGACGGGACCCCCTCCCCTGGCCGGGAGCACCACCACCACCTTTACTTCCCTCCCTGCTCCTCCCACCCTCCGGCACCGTCTCTCATCCGTCATCGGGCAAATCAAATGCGCATCGCCGCTGCAGAGACTCGCCGGCCGGTGTTAACGGCAGGACCCGTGATTTCTGATTTTATTTTACGCGCGATCAAATCCACCTGCGATGGAAAGAGCAGCTCGTGGAGGGACGATGACACGACACATTTCAGTGACGGTGCAGGTGGAGAAGCTGGCCTGCAGTCAGCTCAGATCAGGATGGAGGTTGTAAAGGAGAAACATAAAAATCCTATTAAAATCAAGATACAAAAACCAGAACATAAACTGTCATTAAACCGTTGAAAGACTTTAATATTATATTTAACTACTATTCTAAATTGCAGACACGTGAGTACAGATATATTATAATGCAGCAAGGCCTAATAAGATCTTTTGTGTGTCGAGATAATTCAATCAGCCAGTGCGTATTTTGCGCACAAACAAAATATGCAAATGTGCCAACTAGATCAGCGTTAATGGACTCGCTTGTAACAGATTTCTACTCTTCCCTCACTTCCCTCAATGTTCAATCTATAATGAAAGGCTATAGACACAATAATTCAATATACAACAACAAGATGTCCAATTAAATTCAGAAGAAAAGACGCACAGGAGCGCCAACAAATAGGGCAAATCGTTTAGATTTTGAATTTACATCTGTGAATTTGTGGCCAACTGATAATAATTAAGATACAAGGGTCATATAATCATGGATAATTTGCAGGATAATCTACATAAAACTGGATTTTATTTCACTAGATAATGACATTTGTTATTTTACATAATTACGCACAAGTTAAAACACAGAAATGTCGGTATGTCGTTGGCAATTTTGCAGCTACTTTGAAACTGCAGTGCTCCTTTATGCAGTGGAAGTTTATTCGTTATAAATATTAGTCTCTACTTCACCAAAACCCTCCTCATTAAGCCTCTGCCCCATTTGTTCCCCCCCTACCATGCCATGTAAAATCAGTTTGGCGTCATGTGGCTCTGACTTCAATTAACTCTTAATAATCATCTCCGCATGTATCAGGGCGTTAAACTGCGTGTTTCACAAAGAACAGCTCACTGCCCAGACCTGAGAATCAATAGCATGCCTGACTCCAGAGGCAGGAAAACGTCTTTGGGCACACGGGACATGTTCTTCTGTGCGCTCTCATGATGGATGGAGCAGGCAGCCTCTCTCTCTCCCTCCCTCTCTCTCTGACTGACTGACAGCCTCAGACCACCACCGCGTGTCCCGGGACAGATCCCGGCCTGCTGGGCCTCCCGCGTGGCTTTTCTTCAAACCACATGTGTCGCCGCTGCCACATCCTTTACTCATCCCTTATCCCCCCTGTCTCTGTCCACATACACCTCTCCATCAACACCATCCATCCATCCATCCGTCACAGAGCCCAGTCTGCGCCACGACGCTCACAAATTCTTCGAGGCCAACGTGGGCTTAATAAAGGTGGAGCAGCAAAAACAGTTACAAGGAAAACATGAGCCGAGAGGGAATAAAATCAGGGGATTGAATTGAGATTCCTCTACAGATCATATTAGAAATAAGCGAACAAATAAATATGAATGGATTTAAATGTTAAGCTCAGTGCTGATTGTTTTCTTCTTGAAAAATAAAATGACATTAAGAGCAGAAAAACAGCTCCTTAAGGAAAAACGTTTAGTTTAATGTCTGCCCCAATAAATCTCATTATAATAGAAAATAGGTTAATTAATTGAATGGAGCATGATTGAAGAAGCCTAAATGTATTAATCAATGAAAACTAAAAACTATACTAAATTCAAGTGAAATGAGTTTTATCATATCACCTGTAACACTATCTACCTTGATAAACCATGATAAACCAATAGATTCATATTCTTCATATGGAGACTGGTGGGTAATTGCTCAATGTTCCTAATCCCTCAGTTTACTTTTGTCGCCTGTTGACATTAAAGCCTCATCATTTAATATTGCATGACTGCTTTTCAATAAAAGACTCATAAAATGTGAAATGGTCCTTTAAGGTTATCTCAATCATAACTCTAGAAACTGACAGTGCTAGATTTTCCCCCAGTGCTCCATACATGGGCCTATAATCCCTATAGTTGGGGTCCCTCTCTCTCAGGGGCCCTCAGGAGCCTCTAGGGGACCATTGTGTCCCCCCTTCTGTTGACTCAGACGTCATGAATGCCAAAGCTCCCCGTTACTGTTTCCGTCCCATCGGCCCATGAATGTAAAAGTCCAAAGTTAAAGCCTCCGCAGCGGAGGAGAGAGTCTCCCCCTGCAGCGCAGCGCGGAGCACTAAAGGGTGGATTAGCGGCCTGGAAGAGAGCGCTCTCTGCTCTTTGAAGGGATTAAGGTTTAAATGCGTGAAAAGCGGGAGAGCTAGGGTCGCTCCTGGCTGATGCTCTTTTTTCTCTCTGGAGGGAGGCAGAGCCGCGGAGTTTAACTGTGAAACAGTTTAAGTTTCTTGGTAAACTCACCTCTGAACCCTCCAGACTGGAGCAGGACGCACAACAGCCGGCACGGCCTGGGAGCCACAGACCCACTGCAGGGTTTAAATAAAATGTGTGTTTATTTTAAAGTGGGTTAAAGAACAGGCTGCGGTCACGATCACACAGAACTGAATGGTATATTTAAATATCTAGCCCGTTGTGTTGCTGTGACATTGATATGACTGGGTTTTTGGCACCTTTTCCACTTTTACTCTTTGAGTTTAGGAGAAGAAAAAAAATTCCCACTTTCAATGTTTCACTGCTACAACTGCAGCCTTTACTCTCTCGTGGGCCGAGCATTATTTACATGACACAATACAAACAGTGGGTTAGGTCTGATGTGGTACTTACAGTGTTTTATGCCACGATGAAGAATCTCTAACGCCGTAATCTGGCTCTTCTAATGGTCTAAACTGTGATATAACAAGTGCATAGTCTTCATAATAACGTGTCAGTAAAAGGAGCTGGGACTTGTCATTGTCTCTGGAGAGGCAGGTGCAACAGAATCCCTCAATCTTATGCAGAGTAGGATGTTTCTTACTTGGAGCATTAACTCTGGATATATGCTGGAACTAGAGTCATAATGACGCCCTGTGTTTCATTTACCAGCATCTGCACCAGATTGAAAAACAAGAGCACCGCCCCAAACAACTGACCACACAATAAACACTTCACACAAGCCATATCAATAATACTCATTTATACTGCACTACGCGTGTGTGTGTCTGTCTGCGTGTATGCGTGCGTGTGCGTGTGTATGTGTGTTATAATGTCATTAAGCTCCATCATCATGCACCCTCTGGTCAAAGCAGAGATAAGAGCGCGCACACTTTGGTCTCCGTTATTATGCGTTTTATAAGCGCGCACACGAGCCTAAGTCGATTAATTCCTCGCGTGCTTCACGTCGTAACGTAATTTTGTTTGTTTCTTCGTGAATTATATTATTTGGTGAAATGTATCCGCTAATAAAAAGCCTGTTAATTTCAACGAACAGGGGCTGAGACGCTTGTCACGTTTTAAAGGGCACCACGGTTTGGATGGAGCGCGCGCCTGCCTGTTGGTGTTAAACACTGTGTGTGCGTTTGTGCGCGCGAGTGTGTGTGCCGTGTGGGATATGACTTATCACATTGTATGACACCGAACAATAAACTTAAACCAATTTATGGAGCGTCAATGCGTTTACGGTTATCCTGTCGCGGTCGTCTCCGCAGCCAATTCCCTCTCTCGTCCTATACATCAAACTGACGCGCGCTCTGGTGACATCTTCCGTAAAAGTGATCGGAATCAAATCAAAGCTTTTAATCTCGACAATCACCGTCACATCTGGACTTTTCCCGACACATAAAGACTTCTGCGGCTCTGCTGCACTTGTCTCTGACGCAGCAACTGTTTGGGACTCAACCTGCACCTGCGCGTAAGGAGCATTTTACGCACCAGTTAATAGATGGATTATACAGTTTTGGCTGTAAATGAAGGCCCGTATCTGATACGGTGATGTTGTAGAAGCTCAGTGCAAACCGATGACACATTAGATTTCTCCAGGAGCACAGAGTTGGGACAAATATCCTGAGTGTGAGTTTTGTTACGCATGCCTCCAACTCCGGACAAACCCAGCACAGTAACTACATATCGATGTTAGCTCTTTTAATCTCAGTAGATTATTAAACTGCTTTCAGATATTTATTCATCTAACTCCAAACCAATATTCTACATTTAAACCCAAAAGGTCTACTTGCGACCAGTTCATCTGTGAATTAATGAGGAGATTAAAAAAAAGGGACGTGGCTCGGATGAATTTAAACCGATGTCAGATCCTGTTTGTTTCTCAGCTCCTGGATTTGAATCATCGTTCTGCATTTCTTTAAAAACAGTGGAACAAAGTGAAGTAATATGGTTCATTACAGGGAGACACAGATTCTACAATAAACAGAAATTAGTTTCTTCACCTGAAGAGTCCATGGGCTGATTCAACTCATTGATTCTCACCGTTCTCATTCATTTTGCTACTTTTTCCTCGAGTCGAGGGTTCAGGGCAGAAGAAGTCAAACGCAAATTGTGATTTGTGAATATGCACCACAGCTATAAAATGTGATTGATTGATTAATAATAAACGCACTTTGATGGATTTATGTATATAAAGTCTGATCAGTTAAACCGTGCCTCTCGTTTTCAGTCACATCTGAGCGGATCGACCTGAGCAGAATAACACAAATAAAGATATAAGAAATGTTTCTGTAGTTTTTAGACTCGATCATTTCGCTCTGCTGACACCTGCGAGCGCGTGGGCGGTGCAGTGGGTGAGTGGGGGGAGGAGAGAAGGGAGGGGTGGGGTTTTTTTGGGGGGGGGGGCGTGTGCACACTCGCTCACTGGTGCCATTGTCATGGAAACGACAGACCACCGCCTCGCTATTGTCTCGCGCTCAGCCAAGTTTATTATAAACAGCGCGCGAGCCGCAGCAGCGCTGTCACACGGAGCGCGAGCGCAGAGCGAATAACTGCAGAGAGAAGGAGAAGGAGAAGCAGAAGGAGAAGCAGAAGAAGAAGCAGAAGAAGAAGCAGAAGAAGCAGGAGGAGAGGAAATCAGAAGAAAGTGAGGGAGGAAAAAGAGAAAACGACTGGATTATTTACAGTGAAACTAAGAAAAAGAAGCAGCTTTGTTACGCAGCTGACAGGAGTTCTGCAGAGAGCCAGCTTCAGTCCGGGGACACGCCGGAGACACACACCGACTCTGAGCTCCGTCTCCTGGGGTATAAAGTCACCTGCAGCCGCTCTGACTCCCACCTCACCCCGTCGTGTTCGCAGACCCGGTGCTCGCACCGGCTGACCTCCATGTATAAGATGGATTACTCCTACCTGAACTCCTATGACTCCTGCATGGCGGCCATGGAAGCGTCGGCCTACGCGGACTTCAGCTCCTGCAGCCAGGCCAGCTCCTTCCAGTACAACCCGATCCGGAGCGGACCCTTCTCCAACCCGGGCTGCACCCCGCTCAGCACGGCCAGCTGCACACTGGGAGCCCTGCGGGAGCACCAGCCCACCCCTTACTCCTCAGGTAGAGAATACATGATCTATAATATTCAGCCATATAAATGTCTATAATGATAAACTCACTGCATGGATGAGGGACATCTTGGTCATCAGGCGAATCATTCTTTTTAAAAAGCTAAAGGAAAAAAGAAGCTCCAACATTTATTTTGTCTTCAGCTGCGGAAAACACAATTTCAATTAATAATAAAGTGCAATATTTCATTGTCAGTAAAATGTTTCGTTAATGATCGACCTGTACAGTGTGAGGCCTAAATGGTTTTTACACAGATTTGACTGATCTTTAAGGTTAAGAATCAAATCACTGCAAACAAGACATTAAAAGGATGATAAATGTTATTACAATTTTTAAATGATGATTTTAAAAGGTGAAACCTGAGCTGTATGTGCATAAATCTGCAAATAAATTAGAAAGCTGTAACATCGACCTATAATAGTATAACTGGAACTAATATTACTAATTATAAAACTAATACAAAAAATTTAACAATGCAGAGCTCACAAAAATCAATCTTGACGAACACACACACACACATACACACACACACACACACACACACCTGTTGGCCCTCATATCAAACTGTATCAATTATTCTAAATGTTTATTTAAGATTTTTAATAAAAGTCATTTAATGAAGCTGTGAAATTCAGCTAGTTGCTAATCGAGTCTTTGGATTTCGATCTGAAATATTGGTTTGTGTCCTGTGATTCCTCCTTTTAATACATTTAAATATATTTCAATTATAAGCAATACAATTCTGATTGTTGTAACCAGTACACTACAAATATTTTTTTCTTTTTACTTGAAATATTTTATTACAAAACATTTATGGCCTACATTAATAAATTCGCTAACGTCCCATTAATATTTTAAGATTCCAAATCATTTGGGTAAATGGGCAACATTAGTTTTTCACCATAAAGGCCATGAATCCTGTAAACACAATAAACAAAAATATTTTTTAGGTCATGAATAAATGCACTTTAAGGAAGTATTAATCAGATAAATAAGATGACTTCAGAGGTCTGGTGTTGCCGTTAAATCATTCCGTTATAAAAGTGGCCTGCAGGCCTCCAGCTTTGGTTTGGAACCATTTTTTATCCATCGTCATTTCTGATTGGATGCGAACACGATGTCGTTATTTTGTCAATAAATCAATCGGCCTCATATAAACTACAAAAAACTGAGTAAAATCATCCGATTGCTGATTGAGTAACAGCTGATTATCGTTTGAGAATCGGACAGTGTGGCGGCTCCTGCGCCATTTACGCACGGCCTCTGTGCGTCATTGTGATCCACGGCCTCGACAGTTAAAAAACGTCAGTCAATGTTTCACTGAATAAATGTTGCTGCTTTCTAGCGATTAAACAGATTTAAATTTTCCCTCTCAGTTCCGTACAAGTTCTTCTCGGACCCCTCTGGCCTGAACGAGAAGCGGAAGCAGCGGCGCATCAGGACCACGTTCACCAGCTCGCAGCTGAAGGAGCTGGAGCGAGTCTTTGCCGAGACGCACTACCCGGACATCTACACCCGAGAGGAGCTGGCACTGAAGATAGACCTGACCGAGGCCCGGGTACAGGTGAGACCAACAGGCTCTTATTTTACACCTGACATTTGTATTCAGGCTACAAAACAAACACCAGACACCTGAATCACAGCAAATCAGAATATGAGATACATCTGATCTATA